TTGGAAAGTAATACCTGTACTGCTTTATTTTTTTCTGCTCTCAGGGAACGTTATGCATCTATTAATACACCTTTAAAATTATTATTTCTCTCTTTTTTCCTCATTTATTTTGCCCTTCGCTATTTAAAATACTGAATTTGTAATTTTTTTTTAAAGATTCTGCATATATCTAGGATGACTATTATTGAAGAAGGAGAGTGGAGGTGATAATAATTTTAGTAGGAAGAAAAGAGATGACCCTTATTACATTTGTGAAAGACTTGTTTACATTTACAGTTAAATGTTTTTCTTTTAAAAAGGAAATTGTCAAGGAAGCATTAATGGAGGAGCAGAAACGAAGTGAAAAGGCAATTGAAGAAGCAGTGAAAAGGACAAGAGAGGAACTGATGGAATATATTAAAGAACAGAAAAGGGTGAGTTACCAGTGGCTAATGGGTTTCACTTCATCAGTGAGAAATTGGTAAAGTCTTAAAATGCACAAGAAAACAGAATCAGGAGTTAGATTTTCAGATCTTTCACTCATTTTTTCCAAACAATTTGTTATTATGATATATTTCTTTTCATATATATATTTATAGACTTTTAAATTCATTCAAGCCAAAAAGCAGAAATTATCATTTTGGTTAAAATTTCCAGCATTTCTTTTTAGAGTAACATAAAGATGGGGGCATAAATACAGTCTGTCAGATTCAAATTGTGATCTGAGTTCAGTTCATTGAAAACATTTCAGTATAACTAACAGATGCTATTTTATGTTAACAGATGACTTTATTGTGCAGTTTGCATGCACAAAGAAGTCATTAACTTTTACTCTCAACCCACATTATAAGGGTATATACAACCTGAAAATGTACTGGTGTTCTGTTGAGAGTGATTTATAGCCAGTGCATTGGACTTGTTATGAAATCTTGTAATGTTCTGAAAGTTGTTTTCAGTTGTTCTGTTAATGCTATATAGTGGTAGTTTAATGCTTGTGTATAAACAGTAAAATGTAACTCAGAGAACTTTGTTTTGTGTTCAGTTGGAGGAGAAAAATATAATACATTTCTCCCCTTTGAAGCTCTTTATAAAAAAACAAACAAAATGTAATTTTTAAAACCCTTTTTCATACAGCAGTAGCAGCCCAAGGTACAGTTTCAGTATTCTCAATAAATAAAATCACTCTACTTGAATTTAATTGGTAATGTTGTCCTGAGAAGGAAGTAGAAATAATGCATTTGGCCACTGCCTCTGTATTCCCTGATTTTATGGGTTGAGTAGTATTATGGTAAATAGGATTTACCTTCAGAAGTTTCACTCTGCTACTAGTTAACCTTACTGTTGGGTGAGTGCCTTTGGTAATTCTGTGTGGAGACATTTCCTTTTAGCAGGATTTGTTTTATTTGCAAAGACACTTAAACAGAATCCAGTGCAAAACATGATCCATAAGGATGTTTGAGCATAGCTGAAGTCAGCTATTGACAAAGGATAACTGTGAGGAAGGTGAAAGTAGGTCTACTATTAAAATAACTTGTGTCATAAATAAATTGGTCAATAGGACCTCTAGAGCAGACCATCCAGGCCATCTACTGCAGATGCTCACAGATGCTGACAGATCACACCATGTTGAATTGACAGTCATTTCCTGCAGATACTTCAATAGCAGTTCATCTGTCCTTAATCTCTTGGATTTCCACTTTTGCTAGGAATGGAATTTTGCCAGAATGCACAGAGTTGGAGCTCATTGCCATTATGTCATTGCCTGGCTGCTGTTTACCTGTCTTGCCCTCGTGAAGTTTTCACAAAGCGTTGAAACAATGAAAATATCATCTTCAAAAAAACGAAATCCTCTTTGGTTTATCCTGAAGGAACATAAGTTCCATTAATTTCCTGGAGTTCTTGTATACCAAAGTGTTTCAGTAAGTTTTTTTTCTCATATTGATCAATTGACACATATCCATTCATTTTTTTAAAAAAAAAATCATCTAGATTTTTCTGGCATAGGATTTAGAAAGACTGCCTGTGTTTGGGAGTGAAAGATGTATTTAACTTCAAATCATTTGGCATAATAGCTTTTATATGATTACATAACAGGCAGAGGAAATGGACCTTGGTCAAAGCCCATGTACCTGTAAGAGTAACAAATATAGTTTATGGACTATGCTAAAATGCAGCAGCTTTTAGGAAGGAAGTCCTAGAAAGAACTCAGGGTAAATGCCTTGTTTTCTTCTCCGGGATTCTGTGACCTTTGTTGTCCTTTGAGTGATGGGGGCATCCCAGTTATAAACTTACAAAGGTAACATGCCCTCTGTACTTTTCATTGTTGTTTTGAAAATCAGTTTGTAGAATCTTTCAAACCACAGGACATGGGCACACCAGTGTTTGTACCTGGTTAGCAGTGGTTAAGTGCTTCAGAAAAGGGGCCATAAACTGATTCTTATCCACCTTGTTTTCTAATAGTACAAATTACATTTCATCAATATATCAATTTTCAAAGTAGCTTATCAATTTATTTATTAAAGCTTTTTTTTAGTAAGTGTTATATAATTTATTAAAAAATTAACACACAAATACTATTATAAAATAGTTGTGATATCAGTTTAAGAAATACAATTGTGGTTTTGGCAGTTAGAGTTTTGCTACAAATATTTTAAAATATTAATGAGTATTTACAGCTGTATTTGTGCTTGGACTCTTGGAAGAATTTCCATAACAGTTTATAGAAGTTGGATCTGGCAATGCCACAAGATCTGCAGTGCATTATAAATGTAGTCCAACATGATATTGTAAATAATAGTAAATAAATAATATTAATATTTGCTTTGAGTTGGAAAGGATTGTGAACGAGTCTTTTTAAAAACAGATTGATTTGGTAACTATTTGTAGAAATCATTTGTGTCAACATAACATACAGATTGAAAGTAAACCATAGAAAATTCCTGTTGCATTTCCAAAAGTGTTGAGACCTACCAACCATGAAACCAGCATATCAGTGATGTATATAGAGCTTAACAGCCAGTTAGTGAAGAAAATGGACAAATGCAGGGGATTATTTGAATTAGTAGAAAGTTACTTAACAAAAAACAGGAATATCATCGTGCTAAAATGATGGTAAGGACAAACCTACCTTCCTCTGTATTGAAATGAAAAAAGTCACTTAAGCTGGCAGAGAATTAGCTGGCACTTGTTTTCACCTTCAGATAAAGAACACTGCAAGTTAAAAAAACCCAGTAAACTGGGATAGAAACAGGTGTTTTTAAACAATAAATGAAAGATGAGCCATGCATTGTCATTATGCCATTTCATACTTCAAATATAATCCCAAGTTTTTACGGATATACAGCACTGTATTGGCAACAATTTAAGTTAGGTACCACAGTCTTTAATTTGTTTTCTCCATTCTGTATTATGTGAAGAATTTGATACTAGAAAAATGGTATTTTTATGTTGCCACAGGTAACATCTTAAGAATCTGGGTATCTAAGACGTGAAGGAAATTACAGTCAGGAATTTCATTCTTTATTATTTCATGATTATTTTGTAACAGTCACCTTTATGAAGCATAGAAACTGAACTAGAGTAAGACTGTTCTATCTGTTCAAAGACATCTTCTATACCTATCAGACTTGTAGAGGTTTATATAAATATTCATAACATGCTGAAGAATTGTTCTAAGTCAAATTTGAATACACTTGGTACAACTATTAGCCACACTTGCTTTCTCCAGCGAAGATACATCCACATTATGTCCAGAAATTTATCTTTATTAATTGTCTGAAGGTATATTTCACCAGGTAGAGTTGCTATGCCTGTGTTTGCACATAAGTGTCAGGAAGGCAAAACAATGCTTTACCTTGCTGCTGGTGGGGTGGGAAGTGAGGGGACTGAGGTGAAGTGAAGCACACAGGTAAAAAGGAGGTGGGCACTGAAGGATGACTAAATGGCAAGCCACTGCTTCCACTTCTGTCAGAGAAATAAATGTTATTCTTGTTTTGTATCCAGTGCATATATGTGTGCCACCTGTATCTGAGACATGGATGGAGAGGGAAGCAAAATCTTACAGTCTGGTTTAGAGTGAGATGAGTAAAGAGTAAGAAAACTATTGTCCTTGAGAATCCGTTCATTTTGATGTAAGCTCAAGATTCCCTGAAGTCATTTGTCACTATCATCTTTTGTTGCCTGATGTTCACAGTCCTGCCCCTCTGGCCCTGCATTATGGTCCCTGATATCTGACTGCTCTGGAAACATCCAGTGCTGTGACAAACCCCAGCACATGAAGTGGCCCAAGATGTACTAAGTCCCATAGTCCAGCCCTTGAGGCTCCCCATGCCTGTGGTAGTAAATGCTGGGGAGCATTTATCAGCTTTTTGCATTAATTGTTTAAAAATTCTAGTGTTTGGTTTTATACTGAATGTTTGTGAAGGTGTTCCCTCTTATTAGGTGGAACAGCTCTGGGTTTTCTCAAGGGTTGATAGTTTTGTTTTGTTAAAACATCATGCTGACATGGTGGCATACATGCACATGGCTGTATGTAGGCTCTTACATGTATGTGTGTGTATAGACTCACACCTGTATTTATTACCTGGGGATCAGGGCAAGAAGTAGAGCCTACTGTGCTGTAAACTATAGCCTGGGATGAGAGCTCCAAAACCTCGATCCTTGGACTGTGAGGCACAGACATAGCAGTTCCCTGTACAACTGTAGTGCTCTTGGAATATTTTTGCTTAAAACCTGATTGATGGTTACATGCTGCTCTTTTAGGAGGATAAAGAAAGGCTGGGCCTATCCCTGCTCCAGTTCGTGTGGACTTCACGTGGGGCCTTGGCCCCTTCGCCGAACACACTTTCCTTAATTTGCTGGTCCTGAATGAAGTGAATATAAACATAGCTTTGTCCTAAAGTGCAGTTTGTGAGCAGTTCTGAGGAACTTTCATGATTGTTATTTGCTTCTGTGTGTGATGTGATTACAAGGTTGACTGAAATTTCAGAGGTATGTTAAAAGCATTCCAAATATGTGAGTGGAAGAACAAGAGAAGTTTCCTCTATTTTATATGACTGGCAGGGATGATTTTTTTATATTATTTACAGATAGAATGCAAAAAAAATATCCCCAATTTAATAAAAACATTTTTTCAATAATTCAGAAAGTCTGAAAATATTGAAAGCTGTGTAATACTGATTTAAACAAGTATATGTGTGTATATCACAGTCACCTAAAGAGTCCTACCTGAATTTTTTATATCCGGGTGTGTTATTAAAATTCTAATGATCGAAGTAATTAATTGGTCACTACTGTACTTCAAACTAAGATCTGTTTCCAACTATTTGCTGTTAGAAAGATCAGGAAATTCTTCACTTAATTTTTTTTTTCATACTTAAACAGTGTTCGGAGTTCTTGTACATAATCTGCAGATGTTATTTACTTTTTTTTGTAA